ACTTCCTATTATTTTTCTTCTTTCTTTAACACAGATCACTCTGGCTCAGCAGGTTCACAAGCTAAAGCTTCTTGTGTCTCTGTAGAGTGTGGGTACTGATGTGGCCACATCAAATAGTAGAGTACTGTAGAACGTCTTTGGTTTGGGTTTATTTTCTGCCTCTGCTGCTTAACTGCTTTGCCAAAGAGTTGCTTGGCTTGTGTGTTCCACCTACACATTTTAGAGCCCCGATTGCAGGATATTTAATGCTGCCCTGCCATCACTGGCTGCTGGCAGAAACAAGGTTGAGCATGATGCCTGTGAGTCAGGTAAGTATTTGCCCTGAGTATTAATGSAGAAACAAGTACAGAGAGCACAGTGTCAGTCTGGAAATCTAGCCCAGAGGCAGAAATGGCAAGTTTTTTATCTCCTGTTCCCAAGTTTTATTCCAAAGCTGTCTTTCCTCAGTCTATGTTTTTACAGCAATTCACTGTTTTGTGTTATTAATGCCTAATACTTGTTAATGCCWCATATTAATAAGAGAAGCATTTTGTGCATACCTGTGTTTGCTCTCATTGCACAGTAAATACTCAAGAGATTTCTGCTCTCAGTACAACTGATGCAGARCATGAATTCTGCTCTAAACCAGTTTTTGTTCCAGCCTTTCCAGTATGGCTGTACTTCCAGTTGGGAGCTTGGTTTCTTTGAAAATCTGTCCCCAAAGTCAGCATGGACAGGTTTTGTTTGGTGTCATGACCCTCCATTTTGAAGCTGGTCTTCTAAAAAGCAGTACTAAATGGTGAGCAAACCGATTTAATTCTCTTGATGCAGCTGAAAGTGCARTTGAGCCAACACTCAGCTCAGTCCTGCATTTCAGAACCTGAGCATCGTGTGTTTGAATTGTCCTGCATTTGCTTCTCTTCTCTTGGGGAGCAGAGCCTGTGCTGCTGCTGCGCCGTCGCCATCCTGAAGTGACGAAAGCGAGTCACCTTTGATAACTGGAAGAAACTGAAGTAATTGAACAATCTCTTTTCTTYGAAGCAAAGGAATTCTGTTCCCCTTATCATCCAGTTTGCTGACTTTGTGTCCAAGGTTTCTGTTGCTGTTTTGACTGAGCCTGAAAGTTCCAAAAGCACAAAATGCTTTTTGAAGCKGTTTCTGCCCCTGGCTGAAAATGCAATGGAGTTCATTAGCCTGGAAGTGCTGGCTGAGAYCCTGCTGGGGGAAGGGGAACTGCTGTTGTATTTTTTGTATCCCTTGTGCCATTTTGGACTTGAGCAATATTTATTTTTAGTTCATTTAAACAGTGCAGAAGGAAGGGGCAGTTGTAATATGGCATATTTACATCATGCTGTCAGTTCCTGGCAGCTCACTCGCCTGTCGGAGAACAGAACTAGTCCATTAAGGATGTGAGTGCTACTTATGGCCACGAGTGGTGAAACATCGTCTCCAGGGTGGGAAGGCCTCCCCAGGCCAGCAGGTTCGTTTGTTTTTCTAAGGTGGAGTATGGGGAATTTTTTTCATGTCACAGGGACAGGAATGGGCCATTCTACCTCCCACTTTTTCCTTCTTCTCCTCTACTCTGGAAAAAGAGAGGCAAAGTCTCTACGTGAGATCAGCATGTGCTGGTTTTTCCCCTCATGTCACGCTTAAGTTCTCTGCCCCTTTATAAAAATAAAAATCTATAAATAAAAAAGAACAAATGCTGAGGGGGACAAACTGGACCCACAGTTATGTGCATGTAGTCACTCGCTGAAGTGTGCCTAGCCCCATTCCTCCCAGGCTTCATGCATTCCCTGTTGCTTATGCTGTCAGCTTCTCAGGATGGGAAACATGTGCAAACAGTCCTGGTTKGAGGTTTTTTTGCCCCACCATAACATAATATTAATTGAGATTAGGCTGAAATGTTGGGCTCATCTGCTGTTGAATTAGCTCATTCTCCATTTCTGTACATTTTCCCCCACTTTGGAGGGAAAAAAATTGCCCTGATTTTTGCTGCCACACTTTGATGTCACAGTAATACCTTTCTCCTGGAATTAAGCAGTATTTAGCTCTGATCTCTCCTATGTGACATGCTGTCTGTGTTTGCCACAAGCACAGGCACCCTGTGATTTCCCTTTCTTGGAAACTGCCCTGTCTCAGCATGTGGGTAGGAGGCCATGTAAATAAATACCAACCACTTCTTAGCCTTCAGTAGGCATTTCCTTTTTCCTGGTGGCTGCAGAAGAAACACTTTCTCACAGTTTGGCATCAAACATTTGTATAACTTTTCTGCTTGTGGAATTTTTGTTTAGACAATCAGATTCTTGGTATAGTTTTTTCATCAGTTTCTATTTTTATTCATCTGTGGTTGCTTGGTTTGTCAGTAAATAGTGTCTGTCAGAACAAACACTATCAGAAACTTCCTAAATTCAGTAATTGAATAGTAAATCATGATGAGTATATTCCGTAACACTGAAAGATAAGTTTTAAAGAAAAAATTGAAATAGAATATGAAGTTCCCTATATTGCCATGCAGTCCAGCTTTCACTTGAAAGAAAAAAATTGCTTTTTAGCAATTTTAATATATTATTATATATTGAATAAATTAATATAAATTAATATAGAAATATACTTGAATATGAAATTAATATATAAAAGCTTAATATATGCTTGAATATTTTTTTCAAGTGTGTGTTGCTTTGTTGTGGCAGCAAAGCTGAGGCATTGTTATCCCTTTATTTACTTTACTATTTAGGACATATTTATAATAGCAAAACATTGTATCAGTAAAAATCAGTATTACAGGACAGTGTWCTTCTAATTTTCATACATAAATATCTGATCTGTAAGTTCTTTGTTTAGTGTCATTTACTATTATTTATTTTTTATTGGCTTACTTTAATTTATCTCAGTGGTAATTCTTTCTGAGTGGATGATAGTGTRCAGTCCCTGCAGGGAGAACCCCAAGGCTTCAGATAATGCACATTCTCTGGAAGCAAAATATGGATATGAACTGTGATAAACAGCTAGAGAGTGGCACAAAACTAGACTTCTTCACGTTGTTAGATGAGAGTGTGAAGAATGTACATATGTATGTATGTATGTTTTGTGAGTAATAATTTCTAGGATGGTTAGACTAGAGGCAGTTTCAAAACCCATCAGGTATTTTAATGTAATACACTGAATTTAATAACCTTTGTACTCAACAACAAGAGAAACTGTGCTTTTCCAGAAGGGCTTTTGAAATCTGCTTTTTCCTCTCCTGAGGCCTGGTATGAGGCTGTCTAGGAAAGTGAGCCGTTGTTGGCCCTGTCACTGTATTTTTATAGTTTCACTCTTAGGGCCTTTCTCATCCAGCTTAGTTTTGCAATCTGCTGAAGCTCAGCCAAGATGAATTGCATCTGCCCTCACAGAACACACATTCAACCCAGCCAGGAYATCTTCCACTTCTGTGCACTGGAAGTTGCTTGGTGTATTCTGGGAAGCACATATTGAGAAGAATGAGTCCTGGTTTGGTTTGTCCCTTTGTCCTGTCTCGTGGCATGCAATAAACTGTTATCCCATKGTATTTCTTACTTGAGCCAACCCCATAAGTGTTGTCCCAGTCCAGAGCATTTCAGGAAGTGCAGTGGTGCTGGGTTTTACAGCTGGCTCTGGTGGTGGCTGGGCAGAGATGAGTCAGCCTTGCTTCATGTTGGCTGATAAGGGACTGTAAAAGAATCCTAAGCTCTCYAACTTTGGTGATTTATTGAAATTCTGTAAGGCCGTTGGCTAGCCAAATTCACAAAAACTCCATTTAGTATCTGGACAAATTCCAAGGTATAAAGTCTCTCTGCACTCATTGCTGCCACAGTAGTGGTATCAGCCTTAACAGTACCTTAATGGCTTTTAGAAGCTGTTAAACTGGTCTGTGTTAATCCCCTGTCAGCAGAGTTATCGTGATATGCGAGCCCAGAATGAGAGCATTGAGGATGTAGATGTCACCCATTGTCTTTAGATCCTTCTATTTAACATCTGGTGTGTTTGCAAAGCAAACTGGAGATGTTTGCTTCAGTTTATCCATCACTGTGAGGACTTAAGGAAGTTTAACACAATGGAAACAGCTAATAATCTCAATGTTTTTTTTCTTCTGACATAAAAATTACCTCTGCAGTTTTATTAGTCCTTTATGGGGAGTGGCAGGAAGTAAGAAACCTGGAGAAGGTGAAATTACAGTGATTGTGCTGTAAATGAGGTTTGTGATGAAATTGTAAAACGAGTTGGCTACAGCAAGAGTGAGGAGATCATTCCTATCTGGCAAAATAAGCTGGTTTGAGTCTGATTTTGACTCAGACTGAGTGTGAGTTTTTCCAGAGTTGGATATTAGAAAAAAATTCTTTACAGAAAAAAATTATAAAGCATTGGAATGGGCTGCCCAGGGAGGTGGTGGAGTCACCATCCCTGGATGTGTTTARAGAGATTGGATGTGGCACTTGGTGCCATGGTTTATTGAGGTGTCAGGGCATGTGGTACAATATAAAATTTTGATAATGATATTATTTTGATTTTTCATATGGGTTTTGTATTTTTCACTAGCAGAATGAAAATTTATCTGTGGGTTTATTGAATGTCATGCTTAAATAATTGTTATTTGTAATGTAAAGTAGAGATAAACTTTATGTCACCAGTTACTTCAGTTGCTGTGCAGACCTAGAAGAGTTCTTCAGTGATCAGAAACTTTCATTTTAGTTAAGTCCAACCCTTGCTTTTTTAGAATTCAGAGGAATGAAGAATAACAAATGTAGATGTTTATGTGTTTGAGGTGAACCTTTTTTTTTTGTTGTTATGAAATGTTTTAAAAGGATCAGTGAAAAACAACTGAAACTGAGGTTTCATTTCTCTTGCAGGTAGATCTATGAAAGATAAGCAGACATTTAAATTTTGGGTATTTCCTTATGATAACAAACGTACCAAGGTTATTACCAACCGAACAGAGCTTGCTGACATCAGGCTGCATTGAGACTTCTCACACAGTGTTGTTTTAATCCATTTTTTTCTAGGAAAAAGAGAAGAAGTATATGCTGCCTTTGGACAACTTGAAAGTGCGAGATGTTGAAAAGAGCTTTATGTCCAGCAAACACATCTTTGCATTRTTTAACACAGAGCAGAGGTAAGTAATTGTGCTATTCTGCAAATACTTCTATAAAATGGTAGCTAGCTGAGCATTTTGATCACTGTCAGTGCAATTCTGTTATTTCCACCATGTTGAGTAGACAAAACCTTGATATTCTCGATTTATCCCCTCCTTTGCTGTTGCATAACCATGGGATGAGGGTTGGTGTCCTCCAAGCCACTCGTGGGGTGAAACAGTTCCACGTTGAGTCATCCAGTTCTTCCATGTGGCTGAATAATCATCTCCTGATCCTATTTTTGTTTTATTTGGCAGTCACCTAGGCTTACCAAAACATTCATGACTTTTGTACCTTGTGACCAGATTCAACTGGTGTAAATCACAAGAGCGTCATTACTTTTCACTTTCTCCAGTGGAAAATCTTGGCTGTCATTAATCTTGGGATTCATTTGATTGTTTGTTTGGGTTTAAACACTGCTGAATGGAGAAAAATGAGATTCCTCTTCTTCTCTGATTAATAGAATATTTGCTTTTTAGTTTTTGCCCCACACTTCTCCTCTCAAACTTCATCCTCTGTTTTAAGTGGTGTGATTGCTCTACAGAAGCTACTTCTGATACACAGCCAGTTCAGATTACTGTGCACATGCAAGGCAAGAAAATGTTACAAAACATGGGAAAGTGACATGTAATTTTTTTTTTAATTGAGGAGAATTGCATTTGTAGTCAGTTGAATTGCATTTTAGCAGGTAAGGGACAATTTCTGTAAGTTCTTCTTCAGGAAAATAAGTAAATTGAATTGTAGGGATGCCATGGGTAGAAGATCTTGTTTCCCTCTTCTGCTAAGTTCCTTCACACCTGCTAATCCCTCACATCACCAAAGTTTGGCATTACCTTCAGATGTTCAAGATGATGAGGGTTGGATGCGRCTCACTGCAGATCCAACTGTTTGGCCTGAAATAGTGGCCAGAACTTTCAGATGTGAGGAATGCACCTCTCTGCTGCAAAGAAAAAGCAAAGCACGAGATTCTGAGCTGTCAAATTTCTGCTGACTCCAGAAATGCAAGGACACAATGTGAGTCTTACTCTGAACTACCCCAGGAAGGCTTTGCCTCCATCTTCTGACACCTCAGCCAGCCTGCAGTGGACATGGTCTGCCAGGAGATGCCCTTTCAAAGTGTGTCACACACATACTGGCTGGGAATAACATTTCAAATGCTTRGCCAGTCGCATTTCTGGAGCACAGAAAAAAAGCTTTGAAAAGCTTTTCACGTTCCTAAAAACATAAATGATCTTTAGATGCTGGAAATGAATATAATCCTGATGATTTCTGTAGTTATGTGTGGATCATCCCAGTGCTGTATGTACATCTGTCAGGAAAGGTGACTTTGTCCTGGTGGCTTGCTATCAGCTGTACATATTAACTTACTTTMACGAGAAATTTGTTAATTTTAGCTCATTGTTTCTCCTTTGGTTTGGCTAATGGCTTTGAATATTGTCATCATCTTTAATATTAATCATCAAACTGCTGTGAAAATCTGAGAGCAACATTTCCATTGGCAAGTTTGGGATTTATTTGGGTGATACATAGCTGGACATTCACTTGATATTTATCCATACTAGACAGCGAGGATTTCAAAATCAGATGTCTAAAATGTTTGCCATGTCTGTAATAGCCCTGCCTCTTTGGGCTCTTCGGAGACCCTGCAGGCTCTGCAAGCTGCTCTAAAAACATCCTGATGTCCACATGGGCATGTTAAGACATGACAGCACAGCAATAAGACCACAAAATACCTTTGCCTTGGGAGAGGCAGATCATGGAGAAGTCTTTCAGCTTTACCGGAGGCAGAAATTGTTTTTGAAAAAGTTTGTTTTGTTTTTTTTAAATTCTAATTAAAACAGCAGTTATCTATTACTGTAAAACAGCTGATTTTTGATACTTCCAAAAATCTGCCTCCTGGCACAAATTGATCAAAACAAGATCAGTATCACTTTCCACTGAATCCTAAATTCATAGAAGTGTCAGCAAAAACAGGAATATTGGTTCTTGAGTAGAGTGATCTGGCTGGGGACTCTGTCCTGTATCCCAAATTCTTAAGGAAACTGAAATAGGGAATTGATAAAGATACATTGAAATATGKAGTCTTATTGTTGCTTTACTTTATGGTAATCCATTGATTTCTGATGGGGGTATGATTGAGTATGGCTTGCTTTTCAAAGATCACATCAAAAAATTAACTTAGTTTCTGGTTGGC